TAGAGGTTGTACTAATTTGCAGTCCCACCAACAGAGTATAAGCATTCCTTTCTCTCTGCATCCATGCCAGCATCTATCGTTTTTGGACTTTTTAATACAAGCCATTCTAACTGGGGTAAAGTGATATCTCATTGTGGTTTCAATTTGCATTTCCCTGATTGTAGCTCAGTTTTTTTGAATCTGACTTACTTGTACAGTGCTACTCTATTTCATGTGATATGCTTCATTCTCCCACCTGTTTTTTTTTTCTATTCAGTCTACGATAGAATCCTCATTTTTGCACAAATGTACTATATGACATAGTTTGGCCTGCTCTTGGTGCAAACAAAGCTTTAACATAATAAGTCCATTTTTCTCTCATTTCTGGTCCTAAATCAAATAGTACTTGATTTACCTTCATAAAAATGACAAAGTTTCAATTTGCTATGCAACTTGACAAATTAAAGGCTTATTGTTTTTTGAAATGTCTTAATTGCAAATTTTAGCTGCAGTAAGAGTCACTTTGTCTTTATGACTTTTGGAATATTTAACATGAGTACAGCAGCAGTGAATGCGGGGCTGTTGTCATTTGACATTTGAGCAGCCCTCCTAGCAGCAGTCAGGAGTGCTTACTGACACATTAAAAACAAACATGTGCGTTTGGGGGGATCACATGCCACCAAACCTAATTATGGCACTGAAATTGCATTGAATTGCTTGATAGTAAGTGGGGTGCTCATATGCTTATATTAGGATTTAGTTTTTAGACTATCACCAAACACATATTTTTAAAATTGTCATAGAACATGTGGGTCCCCCTAGAACATATCCAAGGGCTCCCAGGCTTCTTGGATTCCAGAACTCTAGAGGTTGTGATAGAGTCATTAATCCACCGACGTGTTACTATTTGACAGTCTCCTAGCAACACACAGGGACACAGGTGACATTCGAGCATTATGGGTATACCAAAATATCTCTATATCCCACACATTTTCCTGCTGTTTAGTTTGAACCATTCTAAAAGACAGTATTAAACTAGAACTAAATTTCTTTATTGCAAAAAGTGCTTTTACTGGCTTTTTCCCTTCTGATTAAGGCGGATGTCTGTGTCCCCCAAGTTGTATGGCAGTTTTGAGGAGGATTGCCTCATATGTGTTCAAAATCAAGGTCCCAGTAGTTGGGGAATAAAAAAGGCTCTCACCTCTCTTTTTAAAGTCTCCCTCTGCTTTGACCCTCCTCTGCTCCATACTGCTGCTAGTCCCACTAGATGCTGCCACATGTGCAAGGCAGTTTTCTGTTTTCTAGGCCGTGTGACTATCTTCCTGCATGGGATTCTGTCAGAATTTGGGAAGGGCACCTCTTTCCCTTTTTACATTACATTCTGTTAAGGGGAGAGAAAGTACATAAACATGAGTGCTTCATAGCCCCAACTGTTGTAAGAAGAGTGTGGTGAAAGTAACTTTTGAGTTTTTATTAGTATTTTCACCCTTCTCTTTCGCTAGGACACGTAAATAAGACCTGAAGTAGAGAAGGGCCTGGGACAGGAACCTGGATCAGAGAGAAATCGGAGTGACAGATATACATTGTGGGCTTGGAAATCACAGATTTGACAAGTAAAAACATTGTTATGAGGTTCAACTTATCTACTTTGACTCGGTCTTCTATGACAAATGACTTCTTTCCAGGCCACTTCTTGTTCCAACATTAGATATCTGATGCACCCGCTCCAAGCTTGACCAGGCAGGCGCTGAAGTGTCTGAATCTAACACAGTTTAAGCTTAATGTGGGCTGTCCATCTACATTTATAATATGTGTTGTTACGTAGAATATTGAGTGGACCAAAATACCCAATTTCGTGTTATAACTTTAATCAAGATAGTATTCTACTGTACCTTTCATTTAAAAATGTATTCTACCTCAAGATTTTTTCCCTCTGCAGTTAGATTTCTTTTTGTGGCATAATTATCATTAGTAACTATTCCAAATTTTGAAATGAATTTTATAATAAAATGGCTTTTTGAATATGGTACACTACGGAAATGGGTATATATACTG